AAATTGGTAATATTAAAATAGAAATGACAGAAAATTAGTGATACCAACATATAAATAATAAGAAATTAGTGATATCAATATACAGTTAATAGAAAACTAGTGATACTGATAGATAAATAACAAAAAGTTGATGATATTAAAACATAAATGACAGAAAATTAGCGATAACAACATATAAATAATAAGGAATTAGTGATATCAATATATAGTGTCTAAAAAAGTTGTGTTACTTGAATTACATATTACTGAGTTCAAATAAATGAAAAAAGTTCATACGAACTTATGTTCGAAAATGGTTTATTAAAAAGATATAAGCCTTTAAAGATATTTACGATTTTTTATGATACTTATAAGAAACGTTCAAAAAATAAAATAAAAATTTCTTTTTAAGAATTTTAATCGTACGATTCTTTACAACGAATTGTAAGACGAATTTTTCATAAAATTAAATCTTTGAACGCTTATATCTTTTCAATAAAGCTTTTTCGAACATAAATTTATCTGAACTCTTTTCATATATTTCACCGCAATAGATGAGAAAAGTCTCAGTTTGGTTTGGACATCACTATACAAACATAAGAAAATTTTAAAAATTGTCGTGACAATACAGCCCCAAACCGGCTCTTTTTGTTAATTTTTTATTTGTAAATTGACTTTTAACAAAATTTGTAAATTAAAATATTTTCTGATTGTTTAGAATACAAAAATATCTTTCGAATAAATGTTTTTCAGTTTAATAATAATTATTCAAATAAAAGAGATCAGTCGACTGCTCCAGTTAATAAAAGTGAAGGAAACTACTTTATCGACATGACCACATTCTATTATAATATACGAGACAATAACAGAAGCATTTGAAGATCCTGTCAAAATAAAATGTAATTTTTTATCAACATATTGTGAAAAAGATTCGATAAAATGAAGTTAATTCGATTAAATAATTTACTTCATAATAAATTATCCATTCTATAATTAAATTATACGGATTAAATAAAAATTATTGTTCCAAAAATATATTATAAACAATACAAATTTTTGTTTCGATCCAAAAGTTATTAATTTTATGTAATACAATGTAATAAACTTATATTATATTTATTTAGTAGTAAATATAAATATATTATACATAAATGAAAAATAATAAATATAAATACATATATGCAATTAAATAA